GGTTGGATAGTTTCTCATAGACTTTAAGACGTTGCTGAAATTACAAGTTTTACGGCAACATTTCGCTGCTTGGCTGTAGGTGTTGCGGTACCAGCACCAGTCGGGGTTTTTCAGAGAACGTGGCTTGGACTTAGATCGACCACGTGAGTTTCGCCTTTCAGGGGAATTCGGATGATGGTAGCAGGAATTGCAAGGCATAATTGACCTAAGCATCTGCCGGATGGAGTTGCATAACTCTATCGCTGCAGCGTTCCTATTAGAAGTCTGTTTGGCAGCTGAGCATACTTCAGTAACTGGCCATTTAGTTATTTCTAGAACTTTATCTGCAGAAATAGCTAAGTCGTCTATAGTAACACCCTGAAGTGTCACCAGCGCAGTCTGCATTGACTGTGGCAGTTCGGATAAAAAGAGTTCTCTGAAAAGTTCTTCATGAAACTGATCTTGGCTGATAACCTCTCTCATTCTCGTTAGCATGCTCATGGCTGATTGATCCCCTAACTGGATGTTACGAAATAATACGTCCAGACACTGTCGATCCGCGAGAACGTTTCTCCTTAGGGATGTTAATTTAAGCAACTCGTGCGAGTTACTTACCACTGCACTCGACATCTGCACAAATACGCACTTGCTGAATTCCCGCGATAGGGCGTGAATAACTGCAAGGAACTGTGAACGTCGATCGGTTATCCCATACTCACAAAAATCAGACTCAGCTATCTGAATCCACGTCTCAGCATTATCTGGCCAATATGCTACGAGCTGAATGGTTTCGGCAGTTGAGCAAATACGAATGACCTTGGGACTAGGATCACTCATGACGAAATATACATGGTTTGAAAATAGTACCACGACAAATGCAAAATGGGACGAACTCACCGGATTTGTCACCGTATTTACCAAATATGAAGTTCGCGGTTGGGTTCACCAGTTTAGAGGCTGATGGTATTGACGTTCGCGGATTGTGCGGAGTATACTAACACAAGATCTAATACCCACAACTTCTATGGTATCCATTCAGCTTAGACCAAAGATAAAGCAAAGGACCACAAATGATCGTCCAAATTACGAGATATATTTCGGGACCGAACCGGAGTGCGAGATGATTGCTTAGGAAGCTAGTGGTCGTGCACGATCATGACATGACGGACTACCAAATGGTGTAGATGCTTGACCGGAAGCCTTCAGCTAAACAAATCGATTAGAGCAGTGAGAGTCAGCACCTAATGTCCAATGATGAATGGTGTGGTCAATAATTTTGAGGAATTATTCACCGCTTCGCACGAAAGGCCTTTGCACTTTCAAGAAAGCAGTGGCATTTGTATAAAATAGACAATGTTATTACTTAATCGACCAAGCAAATCTTTGTTAGATGTGCACTTGTATGGGCGGCTACTTTTTGACTGACGGTACGCTACGCTGCTGAAGTGAGTTAGAGGCTACAGTCAGTTTCTAGGTCACGATGAGTTCCTGCGTCGGCTAGTTATATGTTTTCGTGTATTCGTTTTCCATTGAATTTTAAAGGTTTTTCTGGATGTTTTGCTCATTTTGCAGTGTGTAGGTCAGTTTTTATCACTGGATGCTACTAGTTAGCTTATTTTTAGCCTGAAGTTCCCAGTTATTATGTTGCTAGTCAAGGATTATGGTTAACTTGAAATCATTGAGCTAATTAACGTTTACTATGCTAATACACTAACATATACTATGCTAATAATAGTAACAGTAAACTCCCTAACTGTTTTGCCATTGTTTGACAGTGAAACTGTGCGCTGGTTTTTCAGCTTGAGTAGCACGAAATCGAACCTACTGCGTTTGCTTGTCAACGTTGTTCCAGCCCTCGCAGGACATATTAAGCATGGACTAGCGTTACTACAGAGCGGAAAGTTTTGATTCAGCACGCAGCTGTCTTTTTAAGCACGACCTGTATCATTTCAGAACATAGTGGGTAAATAAGATTTTCAGTTACCATAAAAAGGCATTATCGAGGAATAGGTTAGAATAAGTTTAGAACTGTTGTAAGCTTGGTGGTGCTGCGGTCTAAGTGATAAATCGTATTAATCACCGTAATCCAGGATATACTATGAACCGGAAATGCTCAGCTGAAAAACATAGTAATTAAGACACAGATCGGTGTAATTTATAACTGACTCAAAATCGCTCTCTTCACGAAACAATCAACCAAAGTATGCTTTAAACTGTCGCTCTCAGCCATTTGAAGGGAAATTTACTTGATTTATGCTGACCTAGTATGCACAAATCCCACAGGTCATTGGATTGACGACTTAAAAAATAGATTAGTTAACGCATACATTTATCTATATGAAAGAGGCTACAGTCAGTTTCTAGGTCACGATGAGTTCCTGCGTCGGCTAGTTATATGTTTTCGTGAGATAGCGTGACGCACATCTGTGGATTATTACTTGCGATATTTATTTCTTTATTTCCTATCGTACTGAGTAACAAACATTAGAAGTCGTTAACATTTAGTGGGTAAAATTGTCTTGGTTTGAATACTGCGTCATCATAACTGTTATATAATTTCATTCGAGTTGACATGACAACTGGATAGTAAAGTGGTTCGCGGTGATCATCTCAGCTTCATGGTCTCCTCAAAGACGCTGAACTCTCATTCAAGTCAGTTAAGTTTTTGTTTAGCCTTTTCTGATGACATGGAACTTTCAGCATTGTTTCTTCACATAGGACATTGTATGGATTCCGATTGTGCTTCAGTGCATCCCAGGTTTCCATTTAGGGTGAAGCGTTCCATAAACACATTGAGTGCATTGCAGACAAATAAAACCCACATATAGGCTAAAGCTCAAGCTGCAATTGCAAGAATTTTATGAAAAAATATCACAGTGCACTGTAAAATCTTGATATTCTTCACTCCATTTTTGGGAACGACAAGTAGCCAAAACTTTTATCTATACAGTCTAAGGGGAAACAGTAAAGAGTGGACACCAACTTCAGACGAACCTGAAACAGGCAATCAGATTCTTCTAGGTGAGAAGCGGTACTCATTTACAAAGAAGTGTATCTACGATATACATGTAATAAAAATGAATCATATAGTCTATATATCTCTAATATGCTGCAGAAGCTAGCTCCAAATTCTCATAGAAGTGGTTATAGACATACCGACTTATACAGACTTCCGCATGAGCTGCAAGAGCTCATGCGAGCCGATGGTAGTCAACGACTGTCAGTGAGACCATGTGAGACAGGTCGTACGCCGACTAATAACCTAAGGACAATAAATTCTTTGCAGAAACCTTGAATATTATACAATCTTCAACCATCGATATGCTCAGCTGAGCATAAGTCTGGAAAGTGCTCCATCACCACAAAACCCCTACTAGTGTTAGTCTATTTTATTAGCAGCTGAAATACTAGTGTCAGATGCGTAGAAAATTGGTCGCTTAGAGAAGGCCTAAAGTTTTGCTCTCTTGTGTGTACATGGGTCATGTGTTTACTCTCTGACAACAAACGTCCTGGGCCAATTATCATTATTTTGATATTAGAACTGTTTTATATCCTTGGGTCTTAGAGAAATGTGTTTATCATGGTATTTGGGCTGTACGAAAAAATATATAAAGGTTAATGACAAAAAACAGCCTATCAGTACTTTTGATGCTTAGGATTAATGTTAGACTGGGTTGCTTGATCTTCATATTTGTCTCGGAAAACAACACTATCTTAGTAGTAGTATAAGTGCTAATGATGTGACGCATGAAATCTATAGTGTGAAGAAACCCACCTTTTGCTTGCTCTAACCTGGATTACATGTGACGCCGTTCCGTTAGGCTGACCGTCAAATGGATTTACAACAATCTGCATGGCCGTTCTGCTCTATTCCGGTGGGACGAGACATCTTCAAACTGAAGATGTTCGGCGTCTCCGTGTCCGTCACCAGTATCTCTGTAGAATTGCTTGCATGCAGTGGAGTCAACGTGCAAGTAATTTTGACAACCGACAGTATTTTTGCACATTAGAGGAATCATCTTTCAATAAGTAATGCCATCTTGGGACAACAGTTTCATTGACCAAGGGATTTACCACAAATGTCATTCCAGTAGATTTCATTTTGTTCACAGACTCAAAGAACCAATGGCTCGGAGTTGTCGGTAATGTGGCTCAACATATCTCTCTGTGTCGGAGACTCACCGTAATCACTGTAAGCGTAGCCTTTTGATTGAATGAAAAGCAAGGGGTTGGTCAGCTCTTGACTTGGCCCCGTAGATTAAGTGTAGGTTGTTTGTTTAGTATGGGATTACGCATCACAATTCTGAAAGTTCATGCGACTCGTTGGCTCGAGACATCATCAGATATGACCCGTAATCAAAATAACTTCCCAACATGCTGAAGTCCGCTCAGTTTCCCTTTTCTGAAAGCAGTCCGAAGTATTGTTCTTGCTAAATATGTTCACCTGTTTTCATTCTGTTGTTCTGTGCAGGTTCTCTTATATTTTTTGTTTGGCCAAGTTTTAGAATCCGCTGTCAGAAGAATTCTCTATTATATTTGAAAGCAAGCTAACACAAATGCTGAAGAATATGAAGAACGAATCGGTTATTAGCTCTGAATTATTCGAGCAAATCCGACCCTCCAATCTTCTATTAAAGTGTAGTCTCACCTTTGGAGAATTTAAGGTGATTGGTAACCTAGTTTCAGTTGATTTCGGAATCAGAGCACCATGTACTGCTCGCAATACATCATCAAAGCTTCCGACGAACTTAGTTGATTCGTATGTCTGTTGGAAACGGCAGTCGCCTGAGGCTTTAGCGTAGGATGAACTAAATTATTCACATGTAGTTTTGTGGATGAGTACTGTATGTGCTTCATGGTATTTCGAAGGCAAAACTTCTGGTGTGCACTGTGGACCGTTTAGTGTGCCTCACAACGTTACACGACAATATATCGATACAAAAGTTAATGTGCTTAAATCATTCTATTGAAATTCGTGTATCACTTTCACGGTACCATCTGTCTTTCCTTTCAGTGAGTAAATGTGTGACCATAATAGTGGAGGAAGTAGTGGCCACTGCTGTCATTCTCACAAAAGTGATGAGTCTTCATTATTCAGTCTGTACAAGTTTATTGATGTGCAGAATGTAGAGTGTCTAAACGAATCTGTTTCTGGAAGCGGCAAACTTGTTTTCAAACCATATGAGGTATGTCTACAATATTTTTACTATTTTCACTTCCATATCTGCAATCAGGACCGTAAAGATTCAAGTGTTTATGTCGAAAGTGATGCTGATCAGGAATTACTTTTCAACATTCCTTTCACCGGAAATGTAAAATTAATGAGTATTATCATAGCCGGTGAAGATACAGAACAGCATCCAAGTCGAGTATCGTTGTTTAAAAATAAACCATTCATGACTTTTGAAGATTCAGATGTAAGTTAATTTGTACTGTAAGCAATTTAATACTTAAAGAATAGACTGAATGCGAGCAAACTCTTGAACTAACTGTCGATCCAAATGGTGAAGTAATTTATCCTTTGAAAGTTGCACGCTTTTGTAATGTTCATACCCTGAACATTCACGTGAAGACCAATTATGGAGGTGATACAACGCGAATTCATTACATCGGTTTAAGAGGTGATTATACTCCAGCGCCTAGAAGAGGAATTGTTGTAGCCAATTATGAGTTAACTCCAAATATTGCTGATTTAAAAGACAGTATAGTGCAAACACAAAGTCGTTTTGTTGAATAATAAATGTTTGTTATACCAACTTGAGCATTCTGTTTTACTTCACTCTTCCTAACTGACTACTTTTGTTAACAAGCACTATTTTCATTCATAGATATCAAATATAAAAAATGAATCTCACCAGTGTGTTGTTTAAAAAGAAGTTCCCGACTACGTTCCCCGCTACTTAGGATAAATTATAATTTCTCAGGCAACTTCCGAAACAACCCTTTTTAGGTAAACCGTCGACTGAAGATGATGCTACCTTCAGTCTACTGAAACATGCTGAGTGGAGTTTTGCTTCTATCGCTCTGACAAGAATACTTTAGGAAAGCGTATATTAATACAGTTGTTCGTATGAATAGTTTGACCACTATTCTACTGTCTTATACTCCTGGTTATATTGAAACTCACTTATATCGTGAAGATGAGTATAATGATAGAGGCAATGAAAGCGATGTTTCACTTTATCCGAAATGATGGTGACTACGTCATCGTCAGATTGGTGATTGTCCCGGAGCGGATTCACATGATGTCTAGCCAATGTTAGAACCACCTCGTAAACGCTATCAAATTGGAGATATGCAGTTGGCACTAAGATCGAAAAGTGTGATAAATTTTTAATGCACTATAAAGAATTCTTATCCCTTCGTCGTCATTTACCTACGTTATAGAGCAGCTTGTACAATTGAGTTGATTTTCTCCATGTAAATATGTTTCATTATTACAAATAGCATCAAATTATCGACTTCTTACTCTTTCTATTCAAATATCTATATACATGTATATGAATTGCTTGTTAAAATTTCTATTCTTTTTGTCAAGTGTTCAACAAAGTTATCGTAGACATTGAAAAAGTGAAATAATGCGAAGTTGAAGTAATTTCCCCTAATTTTTGCCATCACAGTCAACATGGGTGTTCATGGTTTAACCACGTACTTACAAAGTGATCCGGGTAATTTTGGTGAATATGAACTTCACAACACAAACGTTATTATCGACGCACATAATTTTTTAAATTTCTTGTATTTCAAATCTGGAATATATACTCAATTTAATGGGGAATATATGGGATTCAGTGGAACAATTAATCATTTCATCTGCTCACTAAGACGATGTAACGTTAATCCTATCTTTGTGTTTGATGGGTGTCACGAAGTAAGTTGAACGTAATATGTGTGCTTTTCTCGACCTAGCTTTGTTTACAGTTTTTAAATGGTTTCATAATATACTGACGGACTGCTTAAAAAGGCAAGTATTGCATTGTCCTTTAGACCTAAATGTTCGAAGTATGCTTCAGCATTGATTCTCTTTATACTAACACCTAAGCAACTCAGACCAATGGTACTGTAATCTTCTGACAAGCCTTTTGCAAAATAATGGAGCCTAACACAACCTACATTCATTCAAATGTCTCAGTCGTTTAATTAGTCTATCTCTGAACACTGAGTGGCGAATTCGAATTTCACTTCACTTAGTAAGGATCAAACTCCTGGATGTCATCCGAAGTTATCAACCTATTCATAACACAGTTTATCTCTAAGGATTCTTGGTCTAGATCTCTAACTTTCTTCCACACTTTTTCCAATTGCTCGGCTAACACTAAGATCAATATTTGTGGTCTGAATATTTTTCCTGTCCTACGCTTCGTATTCTATCATCTCCCTAAACAGACAGAAGTAATCACGTCTCAGTAGATGCTAACATATTGCCATTGATGGTTGATTGTGCCACGAAACAATTAAAATAGATAGACGACACTTTTAAATGATATGCTAGGGAACAGGTCGCAGAAGCACCAATGCGTTTAATCCATATTTTCGTCGAGATCTCTGCTAGATTTCCATTGACATAACTATCACTGAGATATGATAACTTGTGTAAATTTAGGGGTATCACGAAATGAGTAATGAAGAATTGTGGTGTTGTTGCCTCATAAAAGCCTTTAAATCATTACAGTCTGGTGTAGTCTTAAATTTAGAAATTGAAATTCTTGAGTCTTTCATCTCTCTACAGATTGTGGTAGCTAGGTGTTGCATTAGATCGTTTACGAGATTTTATACTGGTAAACTGCTTGTCGTGGATAAGTGTTATCGGTGTTTTCGGATAAATCTAGTGATTCTATTCACATGTATGCGGGATTCTTGATATTTCCTAATGTAGCTTCTCGAGTAATATAGTTATCCTTTATAGTTACCCTTCGATCTGTATAGAACTGTGAGTGGCGGGGAAGCCTTTACCAAGATGGATTTGACTGTCAAAGTTTCTGTAATAAATAGACACTTCGTGTCCTCATCAAGTTGAAGGCCTGTCGACTCTATAACTGCCTGTCTCCTATCTCCATTCAGTCATAGGCATATATGTGCACGGACTAGTGCGTGATCAGAGCCCGTCTACACAGGTGTTTGAGAAAGAACAACAGTCTACTACTGACTGACCCTCTGCACCCACAACTTATAGCTACCTGATCTATTTCCGCTCATCCTTGATCTGTTGATGGAGGTGACCAGGTTAGGCAATGCCTCCCCTTGTGCTTGAAATTAGTGCTGACGGGGAACAGGTGATTGTCTGAACAGAAGTGTACAAGACGATCACCATTGTCAGGTCGTCAGCACAGGACGCCATAAGTGACACTAATATACGTTGCCAAGTCTCGAAACTATTTAAAGTAAGCATTCAAGTCAATAGCTAAAATGATTTTACCTGAGCGTTTACTTCTGACATCAAAACAAACGACTTGTTTTCAAACTTGGTTGAGGCGTAAACGGGGCTTTTGAGAAGATACGGAAGAGTATCGTGGAGAGACAGCATATTTGGTTTATTGTGAGTTTGTTGGAAACACTTGGTTACTGTTTCATCCCAATTTGCGAGCAGTACGACTTTGCCCTTGAAATTCGAACACAGTGTTGCGGCTTACACTATGATGGAAACTGCTTTTTATTTAACCTCTATCCAAATAATCTATGTGGTATTGTAGAGCATGCAAAACAGTTAATTCCAGCCAGTGTAGGTCATAGCGGCATTGAAACCTCACACCCACATAAGTGTGACAGCTGGCACTTGGGGTGTTTTCTGCCATAGTTAAATAGTATCTTCGAGCCACTTGATCACCGTTAGATAGAGACCATCTGTGGCTAAGAGTGATGAAGCTATCGAGGAGCACCGTTGGTCTCGAATTTTTGTTTACATTATTACCATCATAAACTACTAATTATATTCACATTGCACTGTTCAAAAATTTGTGTTATTCTACTGCATGAGTTTCCTGGTAGGAAATAGAAAGTTGTTATTCGTGTCTCAGGCTTTTTCTCTGCAGCAGGGCAGAGATACACACAAAGCTCAAAGAAGACCAAAAGATGGCATCAACCCATGAAGTCTTTGCCTGTTGATTTGAGCCACGTTAAGAAGTGTAGACTCCCTGGTCGGGTTTATTGAGACTCTGAAAACTAATAGCTTGAGACTGTTGGCTCAAAATCGCTCTCAGTGGCCCAGATGCATTCATTCCTTTCGATGTCTCAGATTCATCAAGTCTTCATTCTTCATGTAATTATTCTCTCCCCCGCACTGGCTTAGGTTGTGCTAACGTATTTATTTTCTTTATCTCTGTTTGATTTTGATGGGATGTGACGACATAAGAAATTGTGCGAATTTAGCTAGTTTTCTCCTTCAGCATATGTAGCTAAGTGAGTTTGGTTCCAGCAGTTCTCTACGGTATTGAACATCAGAAGATGAAGATTTTCATTATTAAGACGCACAGTCGATTTTAACAATGTGGTTGATTCACTTTTTATTGGTAAGATTGTGAACGTTTTTCATTTACCCCTAACTGTATTACATTTTCCTACGTTACATGTTCGTTAACTATAATAACAACACTCTTTCTGTGCTGTTGTATTGAAATATGTCCTCTTATCTTCTATGGGTGGTTTTACACTGACCTGTTAATCTCGTGACTACTTTTGACTACTATTGTGCATGTGTATCCTTATGTGATCTATAACGTTGAGTAAGGCGTGTCAAGTTTCTAAAATTAGATTTATTTTTTAACTCTACTTGTTTTCAGCCTTTCAAGTTAAGTACACAAGTGAAAAGAAATCATCAACGAATGCAGACGTGTCGGAATTTATTAAAACAAATTGATCATCATAATTTATGCCCAGCTGATATTTCATTATGTGTACAAATTTTACCACCTTTAGCTACTATTACTCTGGTTCAGTCACTGGAAAATTTGAAAGTTGATTATATTACCTCTGACGGAGAATCAGATCAAGATGTAATAAGTCTAGGCATTTATTTACAATGTCCAGTCATAAGTAATGATTCGGACTTTTATATTACCATACCAAGTAATGCAGAAGGTGTCTGCTTTTTGCCAATGACTTATATTTCCTTTGAACCAGTCATCAACTCTGTTAAATGTAGTACTTGTTGTCGACGTCAGCATAAAATATGCGCTTATTTAAACTGTCAAAGGTTTCTTCCTAATGGATCAGGTTTAAGAGGACTGCCAGATGTTCAACGACCACTGTTAGCAAGTTTACTGGGAAATGATTATATCGATTCAGAAAAATTTCTAAAAGCATTACCAGTATCTCATGGAAAGACAACATTTCTGAACAAGGCTGCAAGCAGAGAAATGAAAATGAAACGTCGCAGAAATTTGATAACCAGCCTTATTAAATGGTTATCAGACTTTGGAGCCAACACTCAAGAGCCAATTAATCGTATATTAGATAGATATCCAAAAGATGAACGTTCTAAACGGTATAGTGAGTTGACACAAAGCATACAAAGTTACAAAACTGATCCAGAATCATTATATCTGATTTTTGCAAAATATCTTCCATCTTTGTCTATGCATGATGACATGCTGTGTAGAGAGAAGGAATTTGATGCGGAATCGGATAGTTGTAGTACGTATTCGTCATTCGTGCATCATTTGTCTACATCTGGTTCTTCATGCCATTCTGAAACTGACGGGTGCATTGATGATAGTCAATTGTTAAATATCAAAAATGACAAAGCAGATGAAAATATCGATGATAGGATCCGTATACACACTACCAATAATGAATATGTTGATACCAAATCATATAAAGTAACATCTTACTGGCCTGGAATGTTGCTAGACGCATTTCGAAAGTATCAGATAGTTCCAATATTTTTGGATAGTATTTTATCTTATGGTTCAGTATTTGTCTGTGGTATAGAGGCTTTAAAAAATCATAATTCAATCTACTCAGATTCAGTGTATCTTCGTTCACTAATATACAATCTTATCTTGGGTGTTGAGTGGAGTTTCACGTCTCGTTTTCCGGACAAACTAATTGGTGTAGAAAGAGTTGGTCAGTCATATTATGTTACTGAACTTGATCGAAAAGGCAGTTTTCACATAAAACGTCGTAAAGTGTTAGTGAAACCGATAGAATTACTACCAAACAGTGAGATAAATGAATCAGATCGTCGTTTAGCCTTTCTGAAAGAATATTTAGGTTTGATATACAGTCCTACAAAATCGTGCAATAACAGTTGGTTAACATCTGTTGCTCTACTAAATGTTCTAATCTATCGGAGTAAATGTTTATCAACTACTGATGATATCACTTTGTGTCCAGTTTCTCTTACATTCAGCACGATTTGCATATGTACATACCTTCTAATATCTCACTGTAATTATTCTCATCTATCCTATTGTAAACCAATCAAGAAACATTTTCGTAATTGTGCAAATTATTTTACAACACAACTGAACACAAATAATAGAAAGAAACGTGGGATCAGTGATCAACATAAGTTAAATATACACATTGTACATGTATACGGTCAACTGCAGATTTATTATA